AAAAGGCCAAAGTAGCACTGTCTCGCTGCTGCTATCCTTCTGTTGACTTCTCTAGAGATGTCGTTTTCGGCGTTGATCTCTGACCCAAGGTAAACAAACCTTTTCGAAATTATATGTTCCAGCCACAAAAGAACCGATCCCTTGCCCATCTCCTCCGACTCTCATATAGTTGGTCTTAGCTTCATTAATGTGTAGCCCAAGTTTCTTTGCTGCATCTTCTATGGCCAAGAACGATTCTCTTAATACACTTTCCGATCTGCCAGCAATATCAAAGTCTTCAGTGTAGCCAAGAAGCTGAACGGTACTGTTAAGAAGGTTTGCGTGGAGTTGGATTCCGGACATAAGCACTGCTTTCTCTACAGCGAAGTTGGAAAGAAGACAGGCTAGAGCATCTCCCTATCTTACACCGCAGTTATTATGAAGGTCTTCCGAGAAGTCACTTCCTACTCGTACTGCACACTTCGAGCCTGACATCGTCATTTTCACGAGCCGTATCAGTTTAATTGGGACGTTCATTTCCAACAGGGCCTGATACAGTTCTGGCCGAGTTACACGATCGCAGGCGGCTTTAAAATCAATGTAGAGGTGATGGGTAACTGTTTAATACTCTTTGCATTTCTCCAGCATCAACCTCAGTGAGAACAGTTGGTCCTATGTGGACCTCCCTCGCCCAAATCCCGCTTGATATTTGCCTATCTCCCTCTCGGCTTGAGGAACTGGTCTCTCAAATAGTATGTTAAAGAGAACTTTATAAGCACATGAGAGGAGCACTATGCTTTGATAATTGTCGCAATCCGATTGGTTCCCTTTCTTGTGCAGTGGGTAGATAATTCCCCTTTTCCACTCCTCAGGCATTTTCTCTTCTAAAGTAATAATTTGGCTGATCTATTAAATCTGAAATTTCTGGCTCAAAGGTCATGAAATTGTCTATATTTGAGACGAAAATAGGTGGTGGTTCTGGATCAGAAAATTCTTTTCGCTCCAGATTGTTATTCAATGAGTTGTTGGCTGTAACTGAGTTACTGGTTGAAGTTGATAATGGATTGGTTCTGGTTTTATGGATGTATTGGTATTATTTGATGTATTTGGCGTTGATTTCTTACCTAGAGGTGTTTTTTTCTATTTGGCCAACTTGTTTTTTGTTTTTTTATTCGGTGAATTGCCTCCGGACCCAGGGCCAGAATTTCGGTGGCGCTTTTGTAGTGTTCTTCTTGTCATACATTGTGAGTCAGTTTCGTTTATTTCTGATGAATATATGTTTATATCTAGTTAATAGTTAATAAAGGTCTCCCACCTCACTATTTCAATGTTAATGTGTTCAAATGTTCACAAACTCACTGTTATCAATTTCAAGAATAGAATAGAATAGAAAATAATTTTATTCTGGGACGAAGTCCCTTCAGAATAACAAAAAAGACAAAATTAAAATGTTATATCTGGCCAAATAAAAACAAACATAAAAAGTAAAGATAAAGATAAATCAGTAAAAAAAATATTAGTTATTTATCCATCACATCAACCATATCCCATACTTTTCAACAAATTAAAATCACTTTCCTTCTCCAATAGCTCCATCTCTTGGTTCCAATCTTTTCTCACACAACGCACCTAAGCAGTCTCTATTCCTAATCAACCACTATCTTCCTACCTGCCTTTATCCTCTGGAGTTGTCCAAGGATCTAGCGTTTCTCCTCTCCTTTTTAGTTCCTATATTAACGACCTCCATGACTCAATTCTCCATTGTTACCACCACCTTTATACAGACGATTCTCAAATATACCTATCCTTCCCCCCCCCCTGAGCTATTGGTAGCATTTACTAAGATCCAAGCAGACCTAGATCGAATCTGTGCCTGGGAAAACTTAAACGGATTAAGGTTAAATGCTGCAAAAACTCAGGCCATTGTCATTGGTTCTAAGCTCCTCCTTAGATCCTATACCGACTTTCCCATACTAAACCTTGGTGACCAGCCAATCTCCTTCTACTCCTCTGTCAAAAATTTAGGACTATTTATTGATCAAACCCTCTCCTGGAATCACCATATTTCTCACATCTCCCGACGGACAATTTCTACCCTCAAACTATTCCATCGCTTCCGCCATCTCCTACCTCAACATACACGTAGACTCCTCGTTTCCTCTCTCATCTTCCCCCACTTTGACTACAGTTGTGTGGTGTATGATGGACTCTCGGTGGAGCTCCATGACAGGCTGGAAAGATTAATGAACAGTTGCGTGAGATTTGTAATTCGTACCCCAAGATACTACCATGTCTCTCACCAATGACTGAGTTAGAGTGGCTCTTTCCCTCCATTCGAAGACAATATTTCCTAGGTACATTCCTCTATCATATCATCAACAATCATCGTCCTTCCTACGCCTACAACCTTCTCCAATTCAAGTCCTCAGTCCACTCCCTTTCCACAAGATCTCGACCTTCCGACCTTTACATTCCTTCTCACAGATCTGCCTCGTTCCAAAACTCCTTTATTGCTCGTTCTGTTAATTTTTGGAATTCCCTTCCTATCAAAATTCGGCATTCTTCATCCCTATCTACATTCAAAACCCTCCTATTCCAATTCATGTCCCAAAAACAGTCAGATACCCGCTAACCTTTTATGTAAAATTACATATTATTCATAATAATGTATTCACATATAGCTCATAACTTAAATACTTATTATAGATTCGACTTTCTTTTTTTTTTCAAACAGAAACACAGAGTTTACTACTAAAAAGAATTTACATTTATTTTTTTCTGTATTTTTTATTTTTTCTAAAAGTGTATATTTATATTTTACTATTGTACATAGTTTTAAGTGTCTTGGCAAGGTTTCAAGAGTTTTGTATATAGATTTTTTTATTTTATTTTGTACTAAAAGTGATTTTAGTTTGTTGAAGAGGATGGGATGGTTAATGGAATCGAAGGCTTTAGAGAAGTCAAAAAGTATAAGGACAGTTAATTGTTTATTATCTATTGCAGTCTGAACATCATTGGTAATTTTGATTAAGGCGGATTGTGTGGAGTAGCCGGGACGGAAACCAGATTGGAGAGGATCAAGTTGGTCGGACTTTTCGAGGAAATTGGAAACTTGGGATTGCACCAATCTTGCTAGGGGTTTTGAGAGATTAGAAATAATTGAGATTGGGCGAAAGTCTTCGGTAGAGGATGGATTAGGCTTTTTATTTAAAGGGAGTACAATGGCTTTTTTCCAAGAGGTGGGGATATTGAGTTTTGTAGGGAGAAATTGTAGATGAAAAGGAGAACTGCTAGGATTTTGGGAAGGGCCTGGGATTTTCCTTTTTGGGCAAACTACCGAGCAGCCATTTTCTTTTCCCAGAACTAGTGAAACTATTTTTCAAATTTAAACATCCCTTGACAATAACAAAACTAGATAAGTTTGCCTTTTAACTGTTCAACATTAATTTATTAAACCATTTTTACCAACTTCCAATAAAGGTGTATATTACAATATATATTTTTTGTTTTTAACTATTTATCTGTTTTTATAGATGACACCTCAAAATTTTAAATTAAATATTAAAGTACACATAATTTACTACAGTTTATATCAAAAACATGTTTTTCTAAACTTAACAACTTAAATAAAAATATCTAAAAAGAAATTAATGTTTTGAAATTGGAAAAAATCCTTATAATTTTTTTTACTGTTTTCAACTTATTTTAAAGAAATTGCCCATCAACATTACTGTTTTTCTTGTTATTTTTAATGCAACATTTATGCCAATTTATATCACATCATTCAGTACTCATGAATGACATAGTTATAATGCTATACATGAATATAGGAAGTAAAAATAAAATCATTTTGGACAATTATTGTATTAATAATTGTTCGTTAATACAATCAAAATAAAAAATTTATTATGCCATTTATGAGTACTGCTGAATGATGTGACAGTGGAATCTAGGCGCCTATGCCAGTGCCACTTTTTTGCTGATAAAGTGTATTTTCTAATTAACTGCTTTAAATATTTTTTTAAAAAGTAATCAGTGTTTTAGAAAGAGAAATGTATTCTCCAGGTGTTTTTCAATGATGCTTGATTTTCAACTTTAATTTGTACAACTTTAAAAGATTGAATTTACTGGTGTTTTTTATAGTCTAGGCCAATTATTTTCTAACTATACAGCTTTAATAAAACACCAATTATGATGAAATTAAGCCATATGCTGAATCTCAGTAACCCAAAAACTAACTCAAGTCAAAGACGTCAATTTGCCATGTTTGTCGTTATTTTGGGACAGTGCAGCCAGTTTTTTGTGTGGAAACATTGGCCTTATTTTAATAAATAGTTACAAGGAACACAACTATATGCAATTAATTGGGATGTAAAGGAAGGGTGTACGGTAGGGAGGTCTGGCCCATGGTGTGACATACTTTTCAAAACACCTCCCGACTACCATCTACCGTTTCAGTCAATGGCTTATTATCTTCAAGGAAAACTTTCTAATTCCCTGGATGAGGTTCAAAATGGAGTTAAAGAATCCTTCTGTTCAAAACTGAAAGAGCACTATTGTAAAGAAATTGAAATGGATAAATTTTGAAAGCTCAATAGTTCGCTTCCTGTTGGGTTTAGAAAAAAATGCTATATACAAAAGTAATAGATAATTTTAAGCTGTTTAAGATTGAATATATTCATTTTTTTTTAATCTATGTTCCTCTAAAAAGGAGATATCTAGCATAAACCAAAAAAATTTCAACGGTTTTTGGTGCACTCCAGCAAACCCACAAGGCTTTCAATTTCGGAAACTTGGATTTTTTATATTTTCTACATACCTAACAATATAAAAAATAAATTAGAATTGCCTGACCTTTTGCAAAATAACATGTCTAATTTGATTGGGTTAATAAACATATAAATTTGTAAATAAATTCATAATGATGTAGAGATGGTTGACCGTTTGACCGCACCCCCGACTAACTCCTTCTCATAAATATATACAATTTGATTATATATATATATTTCTTTTTTTTCCAGGGAGCGCATTGCCACAAAGTTGTTGATGAAATTAAGAATAATGTAAATAAGTTTGTTCACCGTTTATTTCCAAATCTTGAGATACAAGAACATAGAGTAAGACTTCTATTATATTAAATATATTTACTGTGAATATGTTTGACTATACCTTAAAATTTCCCTTTTTATGATAATATTATTATGTTTGTATGGTAGCATAGGAAAGTGGCGACCCCATCAGCCAGCCGTCATGCTGTAATCAGCCATTGGTCCTAGGTTAGGGGAGCACCTACACAGTACACAGTACTCTAGATAATGGTCATGATCAGTACACACCCAGGGGTCACCTTTTCTTGGTATCTCCCCCAGATGGGAGAGCAGGTCTGGATGCTCAAAGCAGTCCCTTCACCTGACTCAGGGGCAGTTGGCCGATAATCCACAGCCCTCAAACAAACAATATTATGAAACCTCCTACAAGCTTCAGAACTATACAGATATATGGTAAATTTATTGTTAACAAGAAACAGTCTAAGAATTTTCTAATAGGAAGATAGAATGTATGCAGCCTAATAAAGGTGGGTAAGAGTTAAACACTGGAGGATTGTCTTGGATAAGTAAAATATGGATATAGTAGTAGCATTGTAGGAGATAAGGTGAAAGAAGACTAGTAGTAGAATTCAACCATTATATTCTTTTCTATAGTGGACATGACGCCAATATTTTTTGAATAGTATTTATGGTAAAAAAGAAAATCATTGACTGGATAGATAAATGAGAGGATTTGAACATTGAGATTAAATATGAAATTCTTTAATATCTCCCTGAAAAGTGTCCTGAGACTAAACAAACCAGAGGAAGACAAAGAAAAGTTCTACGACATACTGGAAAGAACTTTTGAACAAATTCCTATGTATTTTGCTAAAATAGTGTTAGAAGATTTAAACAGCAAGATTGTGAAAAAGCTTAGCCTAGAACAATCAGTGGCACTTGGCACTCACCTGACATAATCTTTTTTTCCCTTTTGTGTCACTGTATTTTGTTAAAGTACAAATATTTCAATAAATGCATTATTATGGCGTCCATTTGGGCTTGAAATTAATATATTTTTACTTTCGTTTACCTATATATGAGATGATATGTTTTATTTCTCTTAAAAAGCTCATTTTATTACTGAAGTGTCATTTTTAGAACAAGTTCTTTTTTTCTCACTAAAAGCGATGGCCCACAGGACTTAGTGAAGGTATCAATACGGCCAGTGGGTCTCAATGTGGTACGTGGGCCAAAAACTTTTGGAGACCCCTTCTCTAAAGTACCTTTGATTTTGTTTATTTGAAGTAATTAATAAGTATTTTATTAATTAAATTTAATATAAATATAGTTAAATATTAACTATGAAACAATTTGATAATTAACTGAAGAAGAAATAAGAGATCGTAGTAGAGGACCAAAGAAACCCGAGATTGGTTGAAAGGCTAGAACATAGAACAGGCTTCCATAGGTAACACATGTTTGATATAATATGGACTCCTATAATTATAAATGTGTATACATATACGGTTTTTATAAATGCTAGCATTGGTATTATTTAATATTTAATTGTATAATTGAAGAGAAGAATGATTGGAGTGAACAGTAAAAAAAAATAATAAAAATAAATAAAGGAAGGAGATGGTCCGTGGTGGCAGTCATAAATAGGCTAAATAGTGGTAAAACTATTTTATTAAAAGCCAACGTTTTGACCCAACTTTGCAGGTCTTCTTCAGGGCTAGAACGGACAAGATACAAAAAATATAGAGAATTATGGAAGTTACATAATATTTAGAAGAAAACAAAATTATAAACAATGTGAATAAGCTTATTAAAACTATGAACAGTAAGTAAATTAAAATGTAAACAGAGTAAGCTAAGTAACAATATCCTAAACTGACGTAAATAGATGGTAACAATTGTTGTAGTGTAATACACTCTATTTATATTTTAATGTACTTACTGTTCATAATTTTAATAAGCTTATTCACATTGTTTATAATTTTTTGTCTAAATATTATGTAACTTCCACAATTCTCTATATCTTTTTGTGTCTTGTCTGTTCTAGCTCTGAAGAAGACCTGCAAAGTCGGGTCGAAACGTTGGCTTTTAATAAAATAGTTTTACCACTATTTAGCCTATTTATGACCGCCACCCCGGACCATCTCCTTCCTTTATAATGCAACGGTCAACTATTAAATATTCAATAAAAATAAATAAGTACATTTTTTTAATTTGACTGATTACCCCAACCATTATTCTCTTTAATTATTCACTACAGTCAACCATCAATCCACAATTTGATTGTATACATTACAGGACTTCAAAAATTAATGTATATATACCAGTGCTTAAACAAATGAAAATACCCACAATGAAATATAAATAAATATAGCAGCTTTATTTATCAGTGGCACATTTGTCAGACCAAAAATATTTCCTGGCATATAATTGATTATAATAAAGTAAATAGTTGTAATATACACCTTTATTGGAAGTTGTTAAAGATGGTTTAGCAAATTAATAATGACCTGTTAAAAGGCAAGCTAATCTAGTTCTGCTAATGTCAGGGGATGTTTAAATTTCAAAAATAGTTCCACTAGTTTAGGGAAAAGAAATTGGCTGGACTGTAATTTTCCTAGGAAAATCCCAAAGAGTAAAGGGGACACAAAGGATTTTATTTTGGCAAGTAGTTGGTGTTTGGCTGGAGTGGGGTGAAAAAAGGATGGAAGAAGGGATCCTGGCTCCAGTGGGTAAAACCCAGTAATAGTATTACCATCTTGGAAGTTGTTTGGCAGAGAGACTAGGTGTTTTGAATTACAAGAGAGAGGATCTCTCAGAGAGTTTGAGTTGCATAGAAGAAAGTGTCACCATTTTGGAAGATGTGTTTGGCAGAAAATAAGAAAATGATAAAATACAAATTAATTTAGTGCAACAAAGGAAGAAACAGTATGTATAGAAAAAAGGTTAGCTTGCCAATCCATATTTGACTTTATTTTAAAATCAAACAGGGTTTAGTGTAGTTAAGGTTAATTTGTCTGAGTGTTTTGATCTGAATGTCTGTAACCCATACCTGAGATAGAATAATTGTAAATTTCAGTTTATTATATTAACATTGTTATAATTTTGCTTTATATTTAACCACCTCTTATTTATTTTGGAAGTATCCTAACAGTATAAAGTGATCTTCCGAGGTTATATTATTATTATTATTATTTATCAAATATTAGAGAGATGTTACAATATTAAAGAAAATGGTTAGTAACAAAAAAAAAATATAATACATTAGACAACCGGTATTATGCATAGTAATTAATTGTTTTAAATAATATTTTGTACTGTCTGTAATTTCACTTTCACTTCCATTTGTCTAAAAATACCTATTTTCGCTATAAAAAAAAATCTGGTGCGCGCAACACAACTTTCAACTTCCGCTCAACTTTGAATAGAAATTATTTTCTGGTCATGTTGGACTATTATAAAATTTTCAATTGCATTTTTAACCGAGCTTATCCATGTATTTTTCTTTTTGCTTTTTGCTTTCACTTAACTATACATGTAATATATAGTAGGTGTAAGTATTGCGATGATGAAGATAATACATATTTAAGATAGACCTATGTCTTAGATGTCCTGGCAACTTTTTTCCTTAAAATCGGCAAACCGGAAGTGCCACTTTATATCTAGTTGAAATACATTTTTACAATTTTCCCAAAAATGGCTCTAAAATTTTGATTAAACTCGGTGTACCATTGTATAATTAAGTGGTCTTTAATACCATTTAGGTCTTACCCCCGTTGATGTCACTTTACTGGGCTTAAATGCCCAATGTTCATATGCGTCTTCCTCTAAAGTACTTTTAATATGGTTTATTTTAAATAATCAACTATCTCTCATTATTAAAAGTTACGAAAAAATGCTAAATATAACTTTTGAAAGAATTTGATAATTGAAAAAATAAAAATGCTTATACGGGTCGAAAATGAATGTCCTGAAATATAAGTCAGAATGTATACTTATAATATATTGTTGGAAAGCGGAGAATTTTAGAAAAAAACAATATCTAATATAGAAAGTTGTAGAAGGTAACGGAGAGTGACGAAAAAATTATAAATAATAATTTTTGAAAACTGATGATATTTAACGTAAATAACATGTTTTCAAGGAAACTAAATGAAATTTATTAACTAAATGTAAACTTTAAAACATATTTTTACGTTTGTAGAAAGTATTTAAAATCCACCTAATCAAGGCAATAGCATTGTTAAAAAACTATTTCATTGCACTTGTGTGAAAGAAGAAGTAAAATATAAAATCATTTCATGGATGTGTAAAGCATACAGTGATGGAAAAAAGTATTTGCACAACATGTTTTTATGAATAAAGTAGTTCAAGGAAACAAAAAACTTTTTACAAAAAATAAAAACCCTTCATAATCAAACAAAATAATTAAAACAATAAAAGTGCTTGGAAAAAAGTATTTGCACACTTCCACATTTACAACTTTATTTTAAATTTTAATAGTTTTAATATTTTGTAAATAGGCCATTTGCGTCAATTATTGCTTGTAGACGTCTGGGCATTGAATGCAGTAGGTTTTTAATTAAATCCATGTTTATTTGTTCCTATTCTTGAACAAGAAGTTGTTTAAGGTGATGTCCACTAGTGATATGGTGTTTTCTTACATTTTGGTCAAGGGTGCCCCATAAATTTTCAATGATATTTATATCTGGTGACTGAGGAGGAGTGTGGAGCTGTCTTGGAACATTAAATATTAACCACTCCTTTGTTCTCCTCGCAGTATGTTTTGGATCGTTGTCCTGCTGGAAATAGTGCCGATCCTGGATTCCCATTTTTTCGGCACTAACACGCAAATTATGTCGCAAAATGTTCACATAGCTTTCCGCATTTAAAATGCCTTTGACGCTCACAAGATTTCCCATGCCATGGTAAGAAACACACCCCCAAATCATAAAATGTCCTCCATCATGCTTTACAGTTGTTAAAACATTTTGCTTCTTTAGGGCTTCATTACGATGTCACCATATCGTCCTTCGACCATCTGAACCAAACAAATTAAATTTGCTTTCGTCAGAAAAGATGACATTTTCCCAAAAGCTTAAGGGTTTCTGTACGTACTGCCTAGCAAAAGCAAGGCGCTTTTTGCGATTTGTTTCACTGATGTATGGCTTCTTTCTTGGAACTCTACCATGGAGCCCTTCCGAATTCAGGGCATATCAAATTGTTCTGCTATTAATCTGAACTCCAGACGTTGATTGAACCATGGTAGCCAGCTCCCGAGAACTTATCAGAGGATTTTTAAGAGCTTCTTTTCTGATTTTCCTCTTCAGCGTGGGAGTTAACTTTTTTGGATGCCCTTTATGCTCACTGTTTTCAGTTTAACCACGTTCTTCATACCTTTTTATGACGTATCTCACTGTAGAAAAATTCAACCCTAAGAAATCGGCAATTTGGCAATAATTTTTTTGCTGACTCCTCAGTAAAACATTTTTTTCACGAGTTGCGGCACACAGTTCACTTGTCTTTGGCATGATAATTATCTATTGACTAAAGAAAACTGATTGAAAGACTAGAGAATACTGGTAATAAACGATTAGAGATAAATTAGTAAACAAACCTATGACCTATGGACACAGGAGGATTAATGCCAAAGTAAACAGAGCTTGTGAGTCATAATGTGCAAATACTTTTTTCCATCACTGTATGTTCATAACCTTAAATACATTTACTGTAGTTTAGTGATTATAGATCTGATATTATATTTAAATAATTACGTATCAACGTTTTTCCAAAAAATTGTCATGTAACTTTTTAGAAAATTAAATTAGTGAATAATTTGATGAATTTTCCCTTTGTGAAATCCCAACATTATTATATCTTCCTATAAAGTACCTTTAATTAGGTTTATTATAAATAATAACTATTTATCATTGTTAGGAGTTATGGGAAAATGCAAAATATAACTTTTGGAAGAACTTGATAATTAAATAAAGGAGAAAAAAAATAAAAATACTTATTCAGTTCGAAAATGAATCTCTGGAAATACTGGCCAGAAGGTATACTTACAATATATCATTGGAAAGCGGAGAATTTTAGAAAAAAACAATAGCTAATATAGAAAGTTGTAGAAGGTAACGAAGAGTGGCAAAAAAAATATAAATAATAACATGTTTTCAAGGAAATTTTCTCACTAAATGTAAACTTCTAAAGTTTGAAAAAGTATTTAAAACTCACAGATTCAAGGCAATTACATTGTTTAAGATACTATTTCATTGTGCTTGTATGAAATATAAAAATATTTCATGGATGTGTTTATAACCTTAAATATATGTACTGTAGTTTAATAACTCTTGATCTGATGTTATATTTAAATAATTAGGTATATATCGTCCGTTTATTTGGAAAAATCATCATGTAACCTTTTATAAAATTAAATTAGCGAATAATTTGA